CTTACCTGATATTGAAGTTCCTGTAAATGCCACCTTTGTGGAATTTGAATCAGAACATTGTCAGATAAATTTTCTTTCCAACTCGCAACACTACATTTTTGTGATATATTTGATAATGTTGTCAACACCAAATCAATGTTGGTATAGTTTCTTTTGCCCGTCAGTTTATATTACGAATTAATCTAAACATTCGACCATTAATACCCCCTTTCCACAATTTGAAGAGTAAGCCATTCCTATACACAGAGTCGAACGCTCCTTTCAAATCTATACTAGCCACATAAAGAAACTGTGCACGGAGAAAAAATAGATATAAGGGCACACCGTCCATATATGAAATATAGGTTTGAACACAGCAATTATTGGAGACATTCAAACGCTCATGCACGTGCCATGCGATAAGACGTCATTGATGGGGGCCTATGGACGTGCAATGTGTTACTGCACGAGCATCCTGTGCAGCTGTACACAGCATGTGCAACTCAAAATTCGCTGTCACTTTGGAAAGCAGGATCTGTGGTCATTCAAAAATTCAAAACTTCTCATGCGCAGACACAAGCATATCACAAGCAAATCATGCCAAGATTGACAGCTGCACAGCGCCATGAAGCCATTGGAATGATCCGAGCGGGAATGAGGCAACAACAGGTGGCAACACATTTCCAATGCCATCGTAACACGATATCGGCATTGGTGAGGCGTTATCAGAACACAAATGACGTTGCGACCACCCACGTTCAGGACGTTCCCGAGTAACGACGCCAAGACAGGACAGATGGATTCGAGTGACACATCTCCGACACAGGTTTCAAACGGCAGTAACGACGTCCCAGACAATTCCTGGACTGCGCCGTATCCATCCCAACACTGTCAGGAATCGTTAACCGGCTTTTATCATTTTATTTTGTCTGGGAAATTGGTGAAAAACAGAACCAGGAAAATTCAGCAAATGCAGATGTAATAACTTGAAATATATGGGAATTTAAACAACTTTACTCTCTTTTGGCACGATGCTGTAAGACATTTTTGTTCTTTCAGAATTACGGCTACCATTCTGGAACGGCGTGATCTCAGACAACAGCGCCAGTGGATTCTGTCTCCGTTTCTTGACTTGAAACAAATTTGTAGCAGGAGTAGACCAAATACTGTCCCCAAAGATTGTTTGGAATACAGCGAGGCATTTGTGTGTTTATTCGCCGAAGGCCCGGGTTCGATTCCCCACATGGGTGCAATGCGTGAAGCCCATTTCTGGGGTCCCTCGGGGCAATCTCATTAAAATCAAATCTTTGTACTTGCTAGTGAGAACTAAGATCTGATTTTAATGAGATTGCTCTCGGAGGCACGGGTTGCCCAATCGTCTAAGGCGCCGCGATTCGCTGTGCAGAGTTGCGTCCCTTGGGCACCCAAGAAACCTATGATTGTGGATTCGAATCCCGGTTCGCCCCAATTATGTTTCTAGGTTTGTCAGCACCATACCCGTGCTCTCGGGTTTCACCGAAGTGGTAAACGTCTGAGACCTGCATCATTTCGGTTTTTCTCCCACATTAAGCTGACACACCCTGATATAACTGGAATAATGTCAAAAGCGGCGTCAAACCCAACTCACTCACTCAGGTGTCACCCGCCTTGATATAACTGGAATATTGCTAAAAGCGGCGTAAAACCATATTCACTCACTCACTTGAGCGTTTGCCATATTGCTATGCTATGCAATAGTCTATGATTATCTTGTACTTATACTCAAATTGAATAGATTCGCTCACTAAAATAAATGAATCTATAGTCAGTATAGCCTGTGTTCACTCAGCGTATCAGCGACAGTAATAGATAACCGGCTGACATGAGTCTCGCCGGGGCCCCTTTCACCAGAATAGACTATAGTCGGCCAACTACCCATGCGTTACCAAGCGGGAATGGGAATGAGGCAACAACAGGTGGCAACACATTTCCAATGCCATCGTAACACGATATCGGCATTGGTGAGGCGTTATCAGAACACAAATGACGTTGCGACCACCCACGTTCAGGACGTTCCCGAGTAACGACGCCAAGACAGGACAGATGGATTCGAGTGACACATCTCCGACACAGGTTTCAAACGGCAGTAACGACGTCCCAGACAATTCCTGGACTGCGCCGTATCCATCCCAACACTGTCAGGAATCGTTTACGTCAGTACGGGATTCGACCACGACGCCCTGCCATACGTCCCATCCTGACACACCGTCATCGAGTCAACCGTCTAAGATGGTGTCGAAATCATGTTCGCCAACCTCGAATATGGTAGAGAAATGTTGTCTTTACATATGAATCGAGGTTCAACATTTCCCACAGTGACGGGCGCCAACGTGTCTACCGGCGTTTGGGAGAACGTTATGCACGCAACTGTATTGTGGAGAGGAATCGTTTTGGAGGTGGCTCTGTGATGATTTGGGGTGGGATAACAGCACGGCACCGAACCCCTTTGGTGGTTGTTCAGGGCAATCTCACCGGTGTTGGCTACAGAGATCAGATTCTGAGGCCTGTGGTCATTCCTTTCCTGCAACGTCATGGCCTGGAATTGACATTTCAACAGGACAACGCTCGTCCTCACACGGCTAGGGTCGCAATGGATTTCCTTCACCATAACAATGTAATGTTACTGCCATGGCCTGCAATTTCTCCAGATCTCTCCCCAATAGAGCATGTGTGGGATGAAATGGAGCGCCGTCTGCGTCGTCTTCCACATCTTCCAGATAACGTCCGTGACTTGGCACAGGATTTGAGGAGGATATGGCAGGCCATTCCCCAGGCCTTCCATGCCCATTTGGTGGACTCCATGCGTCGCCGATGCACTGCTGTGATTCACGCACAGGGTGGTCATACCCGTTATTGACTTTGTGACTTTGTCGTTTGACTCCCTACTCCATTTTGATCTTCTGACATCATCGTAACAGATGTTGTTCAGGTCCCGTTGACATTTTCTTATGGTCCGATCATTCAGCTGCTACAGCGTCTGCATCATTTTGTTCTTGCTGTGTTGTATTTCAATCCAGAATATATTTTCTCCGTGCACAGTTTCTTTATGTGGCTAGTATATAAAGGCACCATATATCCTGTCGCGTTTTAGAGTCAGATATTTATCTAATAATGTATATACAATAAAGATATTGTCGCAAGTTTGGAATCCCTTTCTAAAACCTGCTTGCTCGTTATAAAATGTTTAAGAGCAGACCACTTTGTAAGTCTGTTACAAACATTTTTTGCAAAAATTTTGCCTGCTACTTCTAAAAGTGTAATAGGTCTATAGTTAGAGGGATCATTTGGGTTACCTTTCTTAAAGATAGGAAGTATAACGCCATAAGACCACTGATCTGGATAAGAGCCACTTATGAATATTGCATTAAATAATTGTAATAACATGTCCAGGCATTTAGGTGGTGCATTATTAAAGAAATCCACTATAACCAGGAGCTTTACTACACTTCATATCTCCAAGAGCTTGTACCAATTCCTCTTGAGTAATAACAGTGTCTAGCTCACTTTCGGGAATAACTGTATTTTCTATCAACTCATCACCAATGGAGTTGACAAAGTCATCTACAAATTTATAGAACTCAACAAAATCTGCACTTTCTCGGCTACCTTGAAACACTGACTCGAAATGTTTAATCCAGTGATTAACAGATATATTTCTAAAGGGGGCACAAGTCCTTTTTGAGACTAAAGACCAAAATATTTTATTATTACTTATTTCTATAGAAGACACCAGTTTTTCCACCAAAACTGATCTGTAATACTGTGATTTAGTTACACAAATTTCTTTATAGTATTTCCATGCCGATGAATATAGCTGTCCATCAACTTAACTGTTGGAGGCATGAAATGGACGCAACCACCTGCGTGCATCGGCTCGTGCTTCAACACATTCCTTGTCGTACCAGTTACCTCCCCTTCTATCATCACTTCTACGTAAGCTTGACTGAGGAACTCTACAGCCTTCAGCACAGGCTGCCATAATGTTTACAAATGAAGCTAGAGCTCTTGTTGTACAGTTGGCAAGATTATCTGAGAATTCACTAATTTTACAAACTGGTATAGTATTCCATTTATGATTAAAGTTTTTTTTCAACTCTTCTTTCCAATATAGTCGACTTTTGGGTGTTTTTTCTTCACATTTCTCATTTATTATTGTAAATTCTAATGCGAATGTCACATTGGGAAGGAATGTTCAGTCGCTAGACCATAGTCTACCACACTTTGGCCGTTGTTAGCATAACATGTAAGTACCAATCCCTACATCTTCACCTATTCGCCCATTACAAATTCCAAGGCCTGTGAGTTTGCAGAAGTCTCATTGGGCATGGCCTCTTTTATTAATAATGCTATCCCGTGAAGACCTAGGTAAAAAGTTATTATCTTCCACGTCATCGATGGGTAGATGTGTGGAATCATCATTTACGATATAATCAGGGCGACAACTGGTTCTAGCATTAAGGTCACCCATGACTACAACATGACAATATGGGTTATCTGACCTGAATATAACAATATTTATTGTCAAGTTTGACATCCATAAGTAAGCTCTGATGTCGTTGATACTACAGCGTCTAAAATTCCACCAATCCAGAAGGAAATATATAACTTTCACGTATAGCCTTAGCCTACAGTCGCGCTATTCTGGTTTCTTTTTCTGATCTCCCATTAGGGAATATATTTCTGTTTAGAATTCGATCACTAGATTTAACACTACTTTTCAGAACCTACCACAGGTGCAACTGATCATTATAGATTTTGCACGCAAATGAATAAGTAAAGGTGTTCGTAATATAATCTATAATGCGGGATATACTGCACACACAGGATATACATTTCTGTACATTTCATTTGAAATTGGCGGTGCAGCAATGATGGTAGATAATTTCCGGTTCAGATCAAGCTGTCCTTGAGATGACGTCACAACTCACCTGTCGATGAAAACTGGTAACTTTTCAGCAAGTAACCCCAGAAGTTCAGTCCAATTCAATATAATATTAACCACTAACAAGTCAACATCTATCTGTCATACCTAACATATACAAGCATCATATTCAATGTATAAAGTTTCACCTTAAAGAGATGTCGTTTGGCAGGGACTATTTTGCCAGGTGAGGGCGGAGGGATACAGTCTCGGCTTTGACGCGACACTGTACCGGTTCAGGTGTTAGTACATGTCACGATATTTCGTTGACCATCTTCACTTGTCCAAACTCACTGTCCAAGGTAAGACATTGTATTTGCCTGTCTTGCTACATTACTAGTATATTTTCTGGTTACTTACACTAGACTAGTTGCGTGGTTTCTAAACGAGAGGTCCACGCCCCAATGATAAAGACCACCTGATCACTGATCGAAAGAACTAGGAAATACCTCACTTCTTAGTCAATGTACAAAGCTATATTTGTCCATTTCGACAGTAGGGCTCTGGTAAGGTTACTACTCTCTATAAGTGTACAGGTTATATTACAGTAACTTACACATATTGTCATTCATCAGATTGCGAAGTTACATTATTGTAATTAGTAACACAAACATTTATCAATTGTCCCCCTTTTGTTGTATCAAAAGGCACAAAACTCCACCAGACATACTATACAGGCATCTTATGGATATGTAATACTTTGTTCAAGGGAATACAAATCTGAAAAATGACCTGTTGGGGAATTTAATACAATAGATGGACAGAAAATTCCTGACAGCCACACCCATAATTATATATTCACTATGTACTTCTAACATGGCACCATATCAGGCAGATGTCTCGTATCCACATATTTGTAAACAGTGTTTTGTTAAGATTACACACAGGGTACCCATCAGTCTTTAGTAACATCAGGTCTTCTAATCCAAAATAATCAATTATATAATTGGTGTAGGGCTGAACACCTATACACATTATATCTCATTTGCTACTATTTATATGTATGGAAAAGGTGAAGAAATGTATTGCTGTTGTCGTGATAGAGTTCAGTGGAAATATTTTAATGATTCTTGAAACTGAATTTTGACAAGAGCATAAATGTATTTGACATTATATCGTATCTTCTGCAGAAAGCAATAGAAATGTTATCTTGAAAATGTTTGCTTTGTCCAGCTTTAATCTCCTGTCATCATTTCATTATCACTGTAACCATGATAACCTGATATTAAAGACATATATTTGAGATATTGTCTTACATTGTGCAGGCTGTTTAGTAAGGAAGTAATTCATGCAACCAATTCAGACAGCAATGTTAGTCTTGGTGCAGACTTACAAAGCCTTCTTTCACTTGCTGTGTCGTGTGTGTGCTAAATGTGCCAGGAGAGAAGCGCAGTGTGTCACATAAAACTGTTTAAAGCAGCTGCCAGTGCTTGCACACCCTGATGTAGTGTACATTCAACATTGCTAGGGTTGTGTACATCCTGGTACCCATTTCTGCTGCTGCCATGATACATGATTGTTCATGTTGTAGGTAATAATCTGTGTAAAATGATGCAATCTGATGGAGAATCAGATGATACAGCAGTAGTTACCTTCATCCAGTCATCATTCATTGTCTGTCAGCATTAGTGTGCTGATGTTATTAAAGAAACAACAATAACCATGATAACTGGTGATATTTCATCTTTTAGAGGACATGGTTTTTTTCTGGTATATTTTCAGAAGTATTCATTAACTCTTTTATTATTACTTTGAAAGGATTATTCTAACTTTACTTAACAGCTAATAATGAACATGTTGAATGCCGTGGTAAATTTGCACAATATATGCTTTAAATAGAAGATAGTGGATGGATGACAGGTTTCTTTCAACTAATTCTTTCAAGCGCAATCAGGGGTAAATTTAACAACAAATTTGTATGTAGCTGGCAGGGCTTGCTCCTTTTAAAAGTTACTTTCCCTTCTCCCAAATGACTGGCCTACAACTAAATGGTTGAGGCTTCAAAGTGGCTGAACCTGTGGTCGTGAAGCCACCTGGAGGGGCTCTGAACATTTTAGAACTCCTCACCGCTAAAAAAGCCTTTTCCTGCACTCTTAGATTAAATCTTGGCTTCCATTTGCCTCATTTTGTGGTGATTTATGAGCAATAAAGATGTGTAAACAACTGGTTGTCATTGCACCAAGATGATCGCCCTATATCGTCCTTTGAGTTAGCTATTCAAAAGACATTCCCCCTAAATATTTTCTCCTCAAAATTACATGATTCACGAGTAGTGTCCAATTAAGAAAATTAAACATATATGGAGAAGAGTGAAATTTTGACTAACATGATCTACTTTACTTTTTAGCAAGCCCTTTGTTATTTTAACTGGTCCGGGCCAACAGGCCGGCAGTTAAATCAACCCCTGGAATTTTAGTTGTTTGCAACGTATGCCTCATAATTAGTTGTGTTGTTTTGGCCATGTTTGAGGCCCTGCAACCACTACATTGGGTTTCCTGTAGGTCAGGTAAAGTTCTGTCAAATAATCAAGATCACCATGTCTGCTGGTGAAGCCCTGTGTTGTTTTTGCATTCTGTTTGTGCTAGGAGTTAGTTGTAAATATGCCTAAACTGTCCTATCCTGCTTGCAGTGTGTTGGCCTCATGATGGGCCGTGTTGACTCCTCAATGTTTGCACCTGACCACAATAACTGCTGTAGCTACAGGTTGTTGCAGGTAGACACAGGTGTGTTGTCTACGGCAGGTTGTTGCAGGTAGACACTGGTGTGTTGTCTACGGCAGTTTGTTGCAGGTAGACACAGGTGTGTTGTCTACGGCAGGTTGTTGCAGGTAGACACAGGTGTGTTGTCTACTGCAGGTTGTTGAAGGTAGACACAGGTGTGTTGTCTACTGCAGGTTGTTGCAGTTAGACACAGGTGTGTTGTCTACTGCAGGTTGTTGCAGGTAGACACAGGTGTGTTGTCTACTGCAGGTTGTTGCAGTTAGACACAGGTGTGTTGTCTACTGCAGGTTGTTGCAGGTAGACACAGGTGTGTTGTCTACTGCAGGTTGTTGCAGGTAGACACAGGTGTGTTGTCTACTGCAGGTTGTTGCAGGTAAACACAGGTGTGTTGTCTACTGCAGGTTGTTGCAGGTAGATAGAGGTCTACTACATGTTGCAGGTACTTTGGGGAACTATGTTGGTTGGAATACTTTAGCATTTTGTGATCCAGGCAATTTGTGTGCTATCTTCACTGATAAGACAACAAAGATGCTGAAAAAATATGTGATGTTACTGATAATAGTTTGCTTATGGTTATGTAAGAATCTTGGTGACTTCCTGCTGTGATCAATGGCTATGTGACTGTGATCAAGTGAAGATAGAAAAGAGACCGCAGTGCACCTGCCCTCCTAATTGGCAACTGTGTAGCTTGTGGTGGGATTGCCAGAGGGAGGTTATTATCTTACTCCCACCTGCCTGTCGGTCCACATCACATTTTGCTTGTTTCTTAGTATGTGTCGCTGACTCACAACCGCATTACACTGCAAGGTGCTCATGAAGAACTCCAGCCCCATTCAAAACGATATTATCATCAGGATAACATAATAGCTGCTAATCATGCTAATTGGATTTGAATTTATTGCGTTAATGTTTTAACCCATTGAAGTCAACTCAAATTAGCAGCTATGTTTGCAAAACTTAAACACTTCTGGAAAAGGTTTATAGGGCCTACGAATGTAATAAACTTGTCTAAATTTCATGATATTGTAATCTGTTGGGTATTTCTTTAAATGATGCTGTCAACAATGCAGCACAATTCTTCCTTGTGTATGTTTTGGCATTTTGTTACTTGTGTGGGTGCAAAGGCACCTGCTGAGAAACTGATATTTGGCCTGCAGTCTGCAGCAGCTGTCAGTAAAAGTTTTCAAATGGGAGATAAACTTTCCCAATTAATGTGATGGCTTGATCGCGGTGACTTGTATTACACTGATTACAGGAATAATAAAGAGAAATAGGTGTTAATGCTTTATTTTACATTATTGCATTAAGTGCAGTTTTAAAATGAAAAGTTCAAATATCTGTTAAATTAGAAACAATTGATACTTTATATATAAAAAATTACAAATGTCTTACATAATTAGTTTTTCCCCATTTTGTCAGGATTTGTCTGCCAAGGGTACCTAGTTTGGAGATCTAGATAAATAAATCCCTGGTATATCATGAAGGTTCATGTTATGTATTGATCAACAAAATCATTTCAAGTTGGAATACCTTGCAGTTTATTCGCCAAATTTACAGGACCATGTGTAGTGGTTAGCATCAATCAGAACATGCGAGTGAGCGCTCAGAAACTTCTGCTGAAGGTAGTATTAATTTATGATGTTATAATGGTTCTGTTCTGATGTAGAAAATGTTGGTTGCTGTTCAATTTCTGAATTCCCTATGCATATGCCATTTTAGATTTTTGCATGTTTTAATTTAAGTAAGGATAAGATATACGGATGAACAATTTCTTTATTACAATTAGGAGCCACATTTCGGTGTAGGTCTATCACTGTTGTCAAGCAAGTGATGTACAGAGTCTGGTTGACAAGTATTTATACAGGTAGGCGGCAATGTTTATATAATAGAGTAGATTTAAGATGTAGTTACACTGAAGTGGAGAAGCCTGTTTATAATCTACAGAAAAGAATAAACATAGTGACTGGTGAAGTCAGTAGTATAAACAAAAGGGTGAAGCCAGTAATATAAACAAAAGAATTATGACTGGTCTTTGATGAGTTCATGGTACACCAGGTCGGGGGTATGTAATAGCCTTGGTCACGGTTGATTGACAGTTGGAGTCTTTTGATGTTGATGGCTTCTTGTAGTTTTCTGATTTTGAAGTCTTTGAGGTTGGTGGTGATGGCTTTTACTTTGTCCCACTGGATGCTGTGGCTTGGGTTGTCACGGATGTGGTTTGATAGAGCTGATTTACAGTAATCTTTTGGAGACTGAAAACGTCGCTCCTAATTGTAATAAAGAAGTTGTTCATCCATATATTTTATCCTTGCTTAGAACTCCAACTTCTAAATGCCTCTCAAAGAAGTTATTCATCGTCTTCATGGAGACATGGCAATCACAACCATAGACCAACTCAACAACCTGGAAAACAAGTGCATCTTATCATCCAACCACCTTATGTTCTTGATGCGATGCAGAGACAACAAACTCGTACCTAAAGGCCTACAACTAAGAAGCCCTGTCAACTCGCCAGCAGCACGCACTATCTTCCAGAAAGCCATAAAACACCTCGTAATAGAGAGGATATGCCACCATCGCAA